GTAGCAAAAATGCATCATTTTGGAAAATAATGTAGGTACCTTCTGCTCAAAAAGTATTTTGTTGTTTGTTAACTACTCCTTAAGTAATAGACCTTTTTCAAAAACTTTTCATTGCTATTTTTTTGTTATGTTGGTACACCCTTTCTTGACATATGGTACAAATTTGAGCGCCATCTGTCAATTAGATTGTTTACAGCAGCTGTTAATGTGAGATTACCACAAGTGCATTTAACAATTTTTACTATGGAAAATTCTTATTGTACGTGATTTTTTGACCAAACACGGCACCACTGTCATCGCTCAGGCACCATATTCGCCAGATCTGGATCCGTGCGACTTTTTCCTGTTCCCGAAACTCAAATTGCCTCTTCGTGGTAAGCGTTTCAAGTTGATTGAATTGGTAAAAGAGAATTCGCTGAAAGAACTAAAAGCTATACCTCCATGGGTCTACGAAAAGTGTATGGAAGATTGGGTTAAGCGTTGGTATATGCGTATCGCTTCAGAAGGAGCATATTTTGAAAGAGATAAAATAAATTTGAAATAAAATTTAAATTTGTGCTTAATATATATAGCATTTGTGCGTTTATTCTGCTCTAGCAAGAATATATGCTTCAATATAGTCCTCTTTTCGTTAGACAGACCGAGTTCAACGATTTTTCAATGTTTGGATACATTTTAAATAATATGATTTATCAAGCCCCCAAAAAAATACCTCAGTTTCATTAAATTGTAAATCTCTATCACTGGAGCCATCTCAACAAGTTTGGAAACATGTGGGTCCACCTGGAGCCCAAATCTGCAGAATACATTGGGTTAGGAAGCAATTCGTAACGTAATTTATTTAATTTTGCCATGGTTTTCATTGAAGTGTAAGAGAGTGCTTTATTCTTCAAAAAAAGAATTTTTCTTCGACAAATGTGGTCGGTTTTTCTTGATTTCCTCATTCAATCGATCCAATAGTATATAATAGAAGACTAATATTACTGTTTTTTCCAAATAGCTTATGAAAATTATTCCACTTGAAACTCAAAATATCAATTGATTGTTAAGTTCGTGGTCGTTTGGGAGGATACCCCCGGGCTTTACCCTTTCTCTGGCTTCTTCTTTTCCACTAAATGTGAAGTAATGTATCCATGTTTCATCAATCGTTACTACTCGATTCTGACAGTAAGCTAGATTGTATATAAACATTTACAAATAATGTTTTGAATGACGAAATCGTTGTCGTTTTTGGTCAATATGTGAGCATACGTGGCACCCATCTTGCCAAAAGCTTTTTCATACCCAAATATTCATATTAAATATTCGTTACACGTTCATATGATATGTTTGTCATCTTTGCTATCTCACAAATACAGTTTTTGGATCGTTCAACATCGTTTGGCTGTGACCTCTTCTGGATGACCCGGACGGTCTCCATCAAAAACACTAGTATGATGACGTTCAAATGCAGTTTTCTAATAATTTATCGTTTTAAGTGATGCTTCAAGGTTGCAGCATCAAAAAGCTAACCAAACATTTTATGAAGTCGCAACTTTTACAGCTGTCGTTTAAAACTTGCCGGATATACAAAATATAATTGATTTTGTTCTAGCGCTGCCACCTGTTGTGAAGTCGGGTAATTATCAATCAACCTAGTATTATACAACTATTATATCTTAATCAGCACATAAGCTATAACAATTGTAAAACACTTTTATCCAGCATCGATTGGCAAAACGCGTTGAGTTCGTATTGAACTAAAAAGTTAAGTGTTTTAATATAAAAGTGTTTAAATTGTTTATTTTTTAATAAAACTGTACCTTTTCAGTGTACAAATTGCAATTAATACAAATTTTATGTCTGTTATATAATATTTATTTCCATTTAAAATGGAATAACATTTACCTTGTTGTCCACTGAATGGAGATGCACTATATTGATCATTATCATTATCCATTGAATAGCTTGTGTACGCTTGCTGATGCACCACATTTGCTGGATCTGTTTCAAAGGCTGAGGTAAATTCATCGCCAGCTCCAATGAGAAAACGTTTATAAGCCAGAAACGCACATAAAGCCTATATATATATATATATATATGAGATGTGAGATTAATATTGTATTTAAATTAATTTCTATAAGACAATGACATCAGCTTACCCATGTGAATATAGAGAAGAAACAAAAAACAATTGATGCTTGCATATTGCTAGCACCAATACCGCCTGGAGGCATTGGTGCTGAACTCCATTGTGACCATAAATAAATAAATGCAATGAAATACATAAAAGTCCAGAATGCTGAATAAATAAATAGAACAAAAGAAATGTAAAACAATTAAATCGGCTGCATTTTGAATATATACGTATGTATTATAATATTTTATAGAGCAAAAGTTAAATAAAAGAGGTACTTAAGCACTGACCTGAAAAGCCCATGTCCGCCATCACATAACGTTTTCTGCTCTTCACCGATGACATGCGCTCAAACAGAAATTCACCAGCAATGAATGCCATCGACGCCAAGAAACCAAAGAATCCAATTGTGTTGCCATACTTGCAAGCCATTCCATCACCATTAAATAGACATACGTCTTTGCCATTCTCCTCACGCCAACCCTCCGATGATATACAACCGAAAACAACAATTGAGAAAAGCTGCAATGAAACGTTAAACATAGAACGTTAAATGTCTTCATGTGCACCAAAGAAGGAAATTCACGTAAGTCAAATACTGCAATTCAAGTTAAAACAACGTTTTATGTTAATAGTTCTGAGCATTTATTATGAAATAGTTGACTATGTGCTGCATTAAATAGTACATATTGCTATATATTCTTATGTGTATATAGCCAACATAAGGATTTATTAGTTAGAGAATGCCAACAATAGCGTAGGTAGTTCATAAAATAGTAGAACTGACTCACATTACCATAAATATTAGGATTATTCCAACTGAAGTCAGTAATTTGGTACTTTGTAAACTTTTACGTATAATTTATTTTTGTAAAATTACTGACGAAGAAGCATTATAAATTGTATAAAACAATTTTTTGAATCACTGAGTTCAGTCTGAATATCCCTATTATATTACAACAGAAGGAGTCGTTTTAAGGAAAATTATTTTACTATAGTTTAAAAGCAAAAAGAACTTATAGTTAATTATATTTCATAATATTTATATCATATATATCAAAAACTGTCATATATTATACATTAGATAGTTCGAGCTTGAACTTTATTAAAATGAAGCACTGAATAAGCCGAAAAGTATGCAAGTATTTTTAACAATTGGTATTTATACTCAAGCCACATCAGCATGCGTCAGT